GAATTCCGAAAAATAGACCAAAAAACCCCAAATAATCTAAATTCAATATCTGATATCAAATATTTTTAAAAAATAGTCTTTCTAAATAATCTCATCTTCTCAATCACAATCTCAAAGAAAATCATTCACGTCACCCAATTGATCTCTAAATAATCTTAACAATGAGGATGCTACAAATAACTGAAAGACTTTAGTCATATAAATTGTCTTACTCAAGTATCACATTTTTTGACGTGCACAAAAAATACACTTTTTGTACATCCTCTTATATACTGATAATTATTTACTTATCTAAATAAATTAACTATATGCATACATGCAAAACCAGAGATGTACACGTGTTTTTGTGCACACCTAATTTTTTTGCTTTTACTTTTTAAAGTCTCCTGTTCTCTATTGTAATCTACGGAGTATAATTAAAATAAAATATTACCCACTTGATTAAATCATTAATGGTGTACCCGTGCTTCATTTGATAATTAAACCTAAACCCTAGATAATGGTACATTAACCGGCAGACAAGATGGTCTCCCATACTTGATTGGGTCCACTTCACGCTTCCCGCTTCCACTGTTGAAAATAGTTCCTAGCACTACACTTGTCTAAAAGGTGCTACGGCTTATTTGAAAAGAAACACTCTAAAGCAAAAAAATAGCGAGTCTTTTTTCTATTAAAAAAACCCTTAACCAACAAATGGTTTTAGGATTTAACCTCTAAATTTTGAGTTTTCAAAATTATCTTAAAATTAAACCCAGTTGTTTGAATTTCCAAAGTTGAGTTAATTCCAATTAGATTTCAAGATCAGAAAAAGTGCATCAACAAAGAATTTAAAATTTCATAACTTTTTAAGAAGCACGTAGTATGTTCTCCTAATTAATGAAATTTCATGTGGCGTCACATATATTTAGATTATTACGGAGTGATATCTAACTATTATGGAAATGATTTCATATTAATATTATTTTAAAAGAAAATAACTTAATTATTTTTGGTAAACATAACTACTAAAAATCGAAATATCATAGCATTCATATATTAATAGATAGTATTAGCAGAGACAAGTATAATAAGTTGTACGGAGCATAATAAGTTTTTTTGAAAAAATTCCACTTTTGGTCCCATGATTATGATGTCACTTCTACATTACTCCCTTGACTTTCAATTTAACTAAATCTAGTCCGTGACCTTTTCCCCTTCACCACCTGTCGTCCTTCCGACCACAACTCCGGCAAAATTTAACCGGAAACCAATTAATGAAGGTTAGTTGCGTCATTTAATAGCATTTATAGGTTTTCTTATCGAAAAAATTCCACTTTTGGTCTCATTACTATTATGTCACTTCCACATTACTCCCTTGACTTTCAATTTAACTAAATCTAGTCCGTGACCTTTTCCCCTTCACCACCCGTCGTCCTTCCGACCACAACTCCGTAAATTTTAACCGGAAACTCATTTATGTAGAAATATTGGGGACATTTTAGTAATTGTATGTTGTTATAACGGCTACCTACAAAATTAACTTCAATTAATGTTGAGTTAATACGCCGGCTTCCTTCATTCTCAAAACCGAAGTCTTCTCCAATTTCCCAAACTTCCGTCAGCCTGAAAATCCCCAACCATCGTTCGAACAATGAGGACCCGTCCGGACCGTCGGAGTGAAGGAGAAGGAACAAGTGTTGAACGACGTTCGCCAACAAATGCTGGTGATAAAGGTAAGAGGTTGAACTTTTTAAAAAAAGAGTGGAAGAAAGTAATGAATACAAGGCTGAAATGAGTGTATATAATTGGTGTTTGCACATGTTACGTTCTTCCACTCTTTTTTTTTTAAAAAAAAATCCCTCTTTGTGAGCCTCAACATAAAACCCCTAACATGGGCAAACACCAATTATATACACCTCATTTCAGCCTTGTATTCATTACTTTCTTCCACTCTTTTTAAAAAAAGTTAAGCCTCCTACCTTTATCACCAGCATTTGTTGGCGAACGTCGCACTTGTTCCTTCTCCTTCACTCCGACGGTCCAGACGGGTCCTCATTGTTCGAACGATGGTTGGGGATTTTTCAGGCTGACGGAAGTTTGGGAAATTGGAGAAGACTTCGATTTTGAGAATGAAGGAAGCCGGCGTATTAACACAACATTAATTGAAGTTAATTTTGTAGGTAGCCGTTTTAACAACATGCAATTACTAAAATGCCCCCAATATTCTACATAAATGAGTTTTCGGTTAAAATTTGCCGGAGTTGTGGTTGGAAGGACGACAGGTGGGGAAGGGGAAAATGTCACGGACTAGATCGATTTGGTTAAATTGAAAGTCAAGGGAGTAATGTGGAAGTGACATAATAGTCATGGGATCAAAAGTGGAATGTTTTCGATAAGAAAACCTATAAATGCTATTAAATGACGCAACTAACCTTCATTAATTGGTTTCCGGTTAAAATTTTCTGGAGTTGTGGTCGGAAGGACGACGGGTGGTGAAGGGGAAAAAGTCACGGACTAGATTTGGTTAAATTGAAAGTCAAGAGAGTAATGTGGAAGTGACATAATAGTCGTGGGACCAAAAGTGGAAATTTTTCAAGTTTTTTTAGGTGACAACTCCGGTAGCCATTTAAAAATTGGGGTACCGTACCTAGCCTTCACTTGATTAGTCCAAATCATTATATTATTTTTGTTTTAAATTTAAATAATTAAACTGCAGCATTCTAATTGGTACATGTGAATAAATCTATGATACCTTACCACATAATCAACCTTTTTTAAAGTGTGTCTTTCTACCTCTCCTATGACTCTATGAGCCGTTTCGGTCCAAAAATCAACTTGCAAAATACCTGCTTCGGGCTTCACTACAACTTTTACAAAATGGAGGGCAATGATTTGAAAAAACTACTCCTTATAGACCAGAATTGATAAAACATGCATTTTCAATAATGCAACTACATGAAATTTCTCTTTGCAACATTTTGAGACCGTTTGGTAACATAATTTTTCGGCTTATCAGCCAACTTTTTCACCAAACACGTAACATTTGTTATCACTCGCTGAATTGTATAATAAACAGAAAAAGTAATGTTGAAGTTACTTTTCCAACTGTATTGGCTGAAGTTACTGTAGATGATTATTTTAGTTATTTTTATATATAATTTTTTTCTTTATTTTATTATTAAAATATATTTTTAAAATAAAATTTTCTTAAATCAACATAACAAGTCAATGCAGTCACTTCAGCCAGAACATCATAAATTTCAGCAGAATCAGCCCAATAAATCGATTTTCGTACTACCAAACGGGCTCTTTGTGTACTTACTCCTAGTTACATGTGTACACAAGCAGCTTCTGAATGAATTGTTTGTGTACACTGTCAATTTAATTGTGAACGAATTGACTGTATACACGAACAACTAGATAATGTGTACATAAAATGTGTACAAATTATCTATAAAAAAACTAGCCAATTGATGAAAAAATATACTCCGTATGGAGCATCCTCGCATCTCAACTAAGAAGCAGCCGTTGACATCCACAAAATTTTCCGACAGCTGCCTGAAGACCAGATTGTTCAAATCCTATAGAGATATCCTTGTCCGATTACAAATGATAAATTTTTGGGGTGGGGGTGGGATAACGGTTTGGTTTATATTCGTATCATTTTAACTTTTACACATTTCATAATTCATACATTCATTATGACAAAGTTAGCTAATATGACATATTTGAATTTATTATGTTTAGTGATAACAATAGCAAATTGCATTTATATTTTTACATGATTTATTTGAATAAAATTGTGAATATTACGACATTTGTAACACCAACTCTTTTAGGTTTTTCGAATTTTTTATGTGATATTATAAATGCTAATCAACTATCTTATTTTTTGTAAGAAATGAATTTTTTGTAGTATTAAAAAAGATGTTAGAAGTTTTAATTTATAATATTTTATTATTTATTTTTCTATCTTTTATTTCCTTTTACATTTTATTTAAATAATCAATAAATTAAAAAAGATGAGATGGACTACTACTTTTATTTTCTAATTCTAAAATATAGAACTTGATCAAATAAAATAATAAACATAAGTAAACGAATCAAATCAAACTAAATTAAACATAATATTTTTTACTTTGGTAAACCGAACTTCAAACCGAACCGAACCGAAACCAAACCGAAACACAAATGGTTTTAGTTTGGTACAAATTCTCCCAACCCGAATAAACCGAAACCAAAGAAAACCGAACCGTAAACCGAATTGCCCACTCCTAATTAAATTTTATTATGAAATGTTATATTACTAGGTCATATTTCTAAAATTAAAAGGTCTTATTCTCAACACCAGATGGAGAATTTCTCAAGCAAGTATACTTCATGGGAAAATGCAGAGTAAAATTTCAAAGGAACAAACTTAGGAAACATGTAAGAAGTGAAGAACTAGAAAAAACAATATTGTCATATGCTACAACGAAACGAGTACTAAAACATGGTCAATGGATGGTGGGAGACAAATTAATGGAGCATGAATTGTGCAATACTAAAAGAATGAAGCAAATAGGTTACTATACAAATATTATGCAGGGGTGAATTTATAGGACGAAGGAAAAGTGGAAAAACAGATGGGAATTGACTAAAATGACACATTTTTCAAATGTGACTTACTTCTTTTCTAAGTACTTAGTAATAGTTAGTATGATATTTTAACTTTTTATTTGCCCTATGTAAATCATACTTTAGAAATAATTGAAAGATCATACTTCAACTTCGTGTACACATCGGTTGCACGCTATTGCACCGTCATAATTTCTATGCACGAACAAATTTCCGGCATGTTCAATGGCGCGTGTGTATCATTGGCGTGTAGAAATAGCAATTTCCATGGTAGTTAGACCTAAACAATAATAACTACGGAGTATACAAATGCTATAGCCTATAAGTATTCCAATTTGTATTCCATTTTGTACACATACTCCCTAATTGTCTTTGAACATAGAATTCATTTAAAAAAGAGTAGAATTTTCTTTCAAAATATCTGTGTACACGACCGGTGTACACTTAGCGTACAAATTTGGGGTACACCAAGCATGGCTCTAATAACTAACCCAAATGCGGATGCATATATAGGGGGTGTTTGGAACCGATTCTGCTTCTGCTTCTTTTTTAAAAGCAGAAGCAGAATCAGAATCAGTTTTCAGAAGCTGGTACCCCCAGCTTCTAAAAAAACTGATTCTGAGAGTAAATTAGAGCTCCAGAAGTGCTTCTGGAATTTCACCCAAACACTCCAACTTCTGCTTCTGCTCCTTGAAGGAGCAGAAGCAGTTTTGAGAATCAGATCCAAACACCCCCATATACCGAGTATCAAATTAAATGATGAGTACATTTAGTTAATTACATGATGATGATGATATGATGATGAAAAATTGATGGTAAGAAACACATGGAACAATATAATCGAACGGTAGGAATAGGATGGATGATGGTGCATGATCAAGTCCGGCGGCGGCGTGGCGGTTGGATGGCGGAGCCTGGCCGGCCGGGAGAGAAAATGAATCGAATCAGAGACCATAACGGAAATCGGCGAGTTTGGTCTTGACCCACTTGACGCTTCCTCTAAGGGAGGACTTGAGCTTACCTTCGGTGGCGAACATGTTGTAGGAAGCGATTCTCTTCTTCCTCTTCATCTCCAGGTTGCCGGTGCTCGACAACGCCGGCGGCGCGAAGCCGTCGCCTTTAACGCTCGGGCCGTTGAAATTGTAGGTGCCCCGCCGCTCCTCCTCTTCCAGCCCCAAATCCGTCGTGTACTGTGGAAGTGATCTGCTCTTCTCCATCCCCTTCCCTCTCGCCCACCTCCCCTGCTTTTTTAATCTCCCTTCCTAAACTCTCCAACATGCTCATTACTATATACTCCCTATATATATACACACACTATGGATATCGGTACATCTCGATTTCAACATCATACCCTACATTTAGGGAGTGTTTGCTAACACTACTATAAAGCACTTATCAACTTTTTTACTAGAATAAGCTAAAATGTGTGTTTGCAAATGAAAATTTCAGCTTAATTTAAGCACATTAAGTCAAAAGTTAGAAGCGGCCTAGGTGATGCTTTTATCTACTTCTAGGTTATTTGGTAAATATTTCAAAAATTGAGGATAAAGTTTATCCATAAACTTAAGGTTAATATCCTAAATTACCCTCGTGCACATCAACGTCTAGATCCATCTTTCTTCTCCGGCTTTCCATTTCTCCATCGGATTCTCCATCCAGGTAGTTACGTTGCTAAAGGGTTGGGGATCTGCTAATGAATCAAGGAGGAGAAATAGAAGAGTAGAAGAAGAAATTGAGCGCAGAAGAAGAAATCAGGAAGGACCAGAGAAACGAGCTCTTCTACGGCAGGCCCCGACGCAACAGTAGACTCCCCTCCTCCTCGTACAACCCCCAACAAGAAAAAACCGGTCGAGAACCGCCGTTGGTGGTCGAACCGCCGTCCGTCGCACAGTGCCTCCTCTCTGAAACGAGTCTCTCCATTGGTCTGAAACAAAGTCCGATCCGTACGCCATTTTGGAATTACTATTAAATTGAATAAGGGTACTTTTGTATATTCATAATATAATACATCAAATATCACTTTTTTTATCAAACACTCCAACTTTTACCTCTAAATTAAAATCACTTTTATTCCCAAACACTACCAACTTTTACTACAAATCACTTTTCCAATAATCTCTTAAAAGAATCACTTCTAAGAAGCACAAGCAATGGCAAACACTCCCTTATTTGAATACGAGTACTTACCATACATTCATCCTATTTTATGTGTCCGCATTAGATTGACACAATTATTAATTAATAAAGTGTTTGAAAAAAATAAAAGTTATTATTTGAGATTTGAATATAATAAAGTGAAATGTCTTATATCTCATAGTTTTTCCAACAGAAGAAAAATAACACTATTTTGGAACAACACAAAAATGAAAACAGAACATGTAAAATGGGTCAGAGCGAGTAGCATTCTCTATATTTATGGAAAACTCCGGAAATATGAGTAAAAACTTTTAGTAAATTCCAAAATAGCTTAGGAGTTTATGTTTTTATTTATTAGATATGAGTAAATATTGTTATGTTTGAAAAATATTGTGAATTTCAAAGTTTCATTTAGCTAAAACATGATAATAATTACCTTTACTAAAGGAATAAAAATGTAAGGGTGTGAGTCTTATTTTCATATTCACAAAGGGTTTTTTACTCTTTTTTAGGTAGTTTCTTTTTATTTATTCATATGTCATTGTTAAGATTGAAGGTTCTATCATTAGAAGTCCTAATATGAGGAGTAACATAAATCTTGTATATTGTTTTATTGTTTTACAAATAGTACTCCGTATTAATTTGGTGTGTAACAAGTACTTCAACACGCCCCTTAGGATGTTTTCTTTTGGCCTGTTTTCAGTCCCAAACCATACCAGATCAGACTTAAACAGACCAGATCAGACCAGACTTAAACAGACTAGACCAGACCAGACTTCCGTAGTTATAAAATACACAGAGACCAGACGTTTACTAGACCAGACCAGACCAGTTCAGACCAGACCAGACATAAACAGACCAGACCAGACCAGACTTAAACAGACCAGACCAGACCAGACCAACAAATTTCAGTCCAAAAGAAAACATCCTTAGTCCAAATTGGACGGGATAATAGAGTATATAAATGGTCCAAACGGATCATGTCCTTAACAACAATTAAATCAACCGGACATGAATCTAATATCATGTTAAGGTTTAGAGTTTCATCCTAAAATATCAACCTTAAGAAGTAGATCAATATTTTATTCCATGTTTTATTATTTGATATCAATTTAGTGCGGGAAAGATACTTCAAAAATAATTCCTCTCCCATTATTTTATTTGCAACAATTGTTGCGATAAAAATAGGTGGGGCACAAACATTGGGAGGTAAAGATTGAAGTTCGTAGCACGGAAATGAAAACGAGTGGGAGAGACAGAGACTAGTTAGTACTTAGTAGTAGGGGTGTTCGTCGGTTCGGTTTGGTCGGTTTTCGGTGTGGTCGGTTCGGTTTGGTCGGTTTTTTTCCGAAAAGCTGAAACCGTAAACCGAACCGCACTACTTGAGTCGGTTTCGGTTCGGTTTCGGTTCGGTTAATATCGGTCGGTTCGTGTCGGTTTCGGTTAGTTTTAGCATGTTTTTGTCGGTTTTTGTCGGTCGGTTTCGGTTCGGTCGGTTTTTTAACCCCAAAGGTGAAACCGTAAACCGAACCGCCAATGTTTAATCGGTTTGAGTCGGTTTCGGTTTTGGTCGGTTCGGTTTCGGTCGGTTTGTCGGTCGGTTTCGGTTTTTCGGTTTTTTTGTTACCCCCCTACTTAGTAGTGTGTTCAACTCCAAAATGACTTACGTTTATAGGATAGCTTATGATATTTTCTTTTGGACTGAAATTTGCTGTTCTGATTTGGTCTGGTAAATGTCTTGTCTCTGTGTATTTAATAACTATAGAAGTTTGGTCTTCTGGGACTGAAAACCGTCCAAAAGAAAACATCCTTATTTATAGTGCTTGGAGGGTTTATCAAAAGGGCTTTTTGGGTGGATGAGGCTTTGATTTATACTATCCATATGTGAACATTTTGATATAGGATCATTTTACGTTTTACTCCGTGATAAATAATCCTAAAGCCCCAATATTCTCAAACTACTTGGTTAGTTAAATTAGTCATGCACGGAGTATTGGTGGAGATATCGTATAATATGCGTAGCTGTACTAACTGTATTGTGCATAAGGCTTGTCTGCCCATGCTTATCTAATCCGTCCATTTAATCGACCTCAATCTGTCCATATACATTCATCACCCTACATTTTCTTTTCTTTTCACCATTTATTATACGTAGTTGTATTAAATCGTCATCTGTTTAATTTAGGCTAAACTGCTAAAAGGATCAAATAAGCCCTTGAATTAACTTAAAGTGTTCAATTAGCCCCTAATATAGGAGGTTTTGCTTGGTCATCGCCAATTGGAGAGGTTCCCGGTGGAATTTTTTGATAACATTTTTTGAGCATCTTCTTCATTAAGTCTATTTTACTCATATCAAATTTCAGCTAAAAATTAAATCAGGAAGGCAGTCAAATGATTTTCCGAAATGTACCGTGCTGTTTAACTATGTAGTTATCTTCAAAAATCATTTGATTGTCTTCCCGATTGAATTTTAAGCTAAAATGTGGTATGAGTAAACTAGACTTAATGAAGAAAATGTTCAAAAAATTTCATCAAAAAATTCCACCGAGAACCGCCTCAATTGACGACGGCCGGACAGACCTCCTATATAAGAGATTAATTGAACATTTTAAGTTAGTTCAAGGGACTATTTGACCCTTTAGTCTTTAATTTAATTCATTTGCTTTAATGCTTTTGAAAAGTTGTTAGGTAAGTTTGTTATAAACTGGTGTCTATTTCTCGTTTTTTTATGAAATGTAAATATATATTAACATCCAAGCAAAATTAACAAGTACAATGTGTCTCAAAGTCTACCCCCCCCCCCCTCCTATTTCATGAGAAAAGGAGAGGGTGAAGAGAGGCAAATCATCTAGTCTAAGTCAAAACGGCCAATAAGCAAGAATATGCGGCCGGTAAGTCCAAAAAAGTCAAAACTATGAATGGCACTGCAAGGGTGCACGTGCACTAATCCCATTTATAGCTTCTGCCGTAGCATCCAAAAAACTTGACTCCACGTCAAAAGTTTATCAAGTCATGTGGGTAGATACTAAAGAGTATCTTGTAGACCACATGCTTTATCTTAGCAACAACATCATCTTCAGTCTTCTTGCCTTCATCAAATCTCGTCTCATTCCTAGCTTGCCAGATATAATTGGTGTCTATTTCTCGTTCTCTTATTATCAGTTGGTGTACCAGACGTTTTTAATTACGTTTGATAAATGTGTAAAAACGTATAAATTGCCCAATGTCTGCATAAAAATGAGTTTTGTGCATATTTCGAAATTGAGTGAAATTTTCGTTAGTGTTGCGCTCTAACCATATAAACACAGCATATGCATATTTAACAATATATACTAGTCCTTCGGTCCCATTTAAAGGTCTCCGTCCACTATTCACATGGTCAACTTAAATCATTCTTAATCTTTTACGGAGTACTTTATATATCAAATTTATTTATTAATTATCAGACTTTGTAGCGGTTTTAATTTAGTTTCTAAATATGTAAACTTAATTCCGTATTTTCTAAAAATAATCAGAGTGCGAATATGGATTAAGTTACTTTATTGTCAGTCAAGTATCGTAAACCGTAACCGGAACCTCCTAATGGGACGGAGGAAGTACTCCATACTACAGAGTATTAATTATCCACCTTCAAAACTCCAACCATGGTAAATTACCAAGGTAGGAATCTAATTAACATTCGAGTTCTTGAACCAAATGTTACCTCTAATGGAACTGTGATAAAATATTACTCTGTAAATTTTAGCTCATGAGCTTTCCACCAAGCTAAAACATCAAATTTGAATGCTACATTTCTTTCTTGACATCTAAACACTCCTTCCACCAAATAAATACCTAACTCCGATTTCAAAGAAACACCATGTCGAATGGTAAACAAATAATCACCAAACATAGTTAAACGTACTAACTTTTCTTTAGAGACGGAGCTTGAATGATTTGTAGAAGGGTTCTCATTTCATATCGAAGAGATATGTTTTCGAGCTTTCTAAAGACTGATCATGTTCAACTTACTCAAAAAACAAATCATATAAAGCATCCCAAACATTTTGACATTTATACGAGACAAATATATTCCCATTATATGTGTTATGTCATATAAAGCATCCTTCACCTTCAACTCTTCGACAAACATTTCAT